TAGGTGGAGGTGGTATGTTCAACAATGGTTTGATTCTTCTTGTTTCTTACAACGGGGTTGCCCAGTAAGCTTAGAAGTTTTGGCCAGAGGAGTTCACACGCACGCTCGAAACGCAAACCAAGGTGGAGATTGAAGGTGTTGGTTTATGTTTAGTCAACAATGGCATGCCAATTGGAAGAGTTGATGGAAAGAGTTGGTGTGGATGCTAGGAGGAAGCTTCCTCCTTTGATGTCACCCATGACATCAAGAGGAGGTCTTTACCTCTATAAATAGATGCACTCCTTCATTTGTAGAAATCATCCCAAAAATAATACAACACATTGTAGTGAGTAGAGAGTTAAGAGAGAAATTCTCTTAAGTGTAATTGGGAACTCTCCCCTTCCTTTGTTAATATTAAAAAGGCAACTGTTCTCTGGTGGACGTAGGATTATTTTGATCTGAACCACGTTAAATCTTGTGTTCTTTCTTTTACGTTTCCACTAACACATGTTGCTTGGTTAACCGTGTTACTGGAGTTAAAACCAATGGGACCAAAAACTTTATTGTGATTGATGGTAGCATGGCTGAGCTTATACGGCCGAGCCTCTATGATGCTTATCAGGTACTTTTGCCAATCATTGAGATCTTCTTTTATTTTGGTTTAACTATTTCTCTTCTGGTAGCCATAACAACATTTACCGTAATGCATTTGTTACCTTCTACTCTAGCATGCACGTAACTTATGGAATGTTATGCTGTTAGCGCATGCAAATAGTTCCTTTTTCCCCTTGGCATGCTTTCTGGTTGATCAAAGATATATTGTATGTAGTACCTAGTAAAAGTATGGTTTTAAATCATTTCATATACAACTGAATAGGAATAAATTTTCTTTGCCCTCCTCTCTGTTCCTGCCCCTTTTTCCTTTAAGATCTCTTAATTGGTGCGAGTTGGGTCGTTTCCATAAAATATGCACGCTCCAGATATTATATGGTGTGCTTACTTCAAAGATATGATGCTTGCTATTTTTATTATTTTGAATATTCATATTGGTCAACACTCCAGAGTTGTTTTTAATGGGCATGACAGTATTAGGCCCATCCTCTTTCACGACCCCCTGGTCCTTTTCTGGTCTTAAGGCTTGTCACCTTTCCAAATAAACAGGCCCTGTTCTTCTGGTGGTTATCATTTCTCCAAGGTTCATCTCTTAGCTCAGGATGAATCACTCTACAAGTACTATTATAATGACCTGTATTTTGTAGTGAGAGCAAAAAGCATGAATTGGTTCATATTCAACCTTTTGCAAGAAATACTCCATGTTCTCTCTAGGCCTCTATATTCCTGATCTCCGCAGTAATCTCACTCAGTAATGGTTTTTCAATATCAATCTCCACACGCAGCTTAGCACTAGTGGCTCTTGTCTTTGATAGGGTAGCTTTATCCATGATCAAGGGGACTCCTATAGGTTCTACAATGCGACATGTATCCCATTCATAGTAGTGCCATGGAAGGTCTGGCAGAGTGTTCCAGCCAAGGGTTGTGGTGTTTACGGGTTCAGGTTTAAAATTTGTAGTCCGTTTTAGAACTTTCATCGCGTAGTCCCCTCCGAATGTAATGAAACTTCTAGAACTCACATCAATATGTTCCTCATTGTCGAAATCAATAAAAACATGATACATATCATAAGCCCCAATAGTATTGCAGCCTTTTTCCGGAATGAAATTAGCAAGTTCGCGTCTGATAATGTTGTTAGAGAGTCGAGTCCGAGAAAATTTACCTACAATCGTCTACTTACAGCTCTGGGCAAGAGTATCGTCTTCTTCTTTAGTGAAGACCTCTATTGGTTTACTGCTCACCATCTCGAACAGCCTGGAGTAATCATACTCTGTTTCTTGCTTTTGTTAATAGCTTCTTTCTAATCACAATGGCATAAGAGGTTTGTGAAGACTGAAGAGTCCCCTCCATTTGTCTGCAGATTGGTATTGTTTGCGTCTAAAAAGGTAGATTTGAGAAGTGTTATTGTACCGTTATAGATATTCGATGGTTGACTCAGTTGGGGATCTAGTGGAACACGTGATGGGAGCTGAGAGAAATCGATCTGGTGAGAATTAGTGGTAGCATGTGAAAGGAGTAAAGACATTGGGTCTGGGGGGATCGGAGGTCGACCTTTGGAAACGTATTACTGTTGTCAGAACAGTGTTAGGGTTTTAATTAGGAGAGAAGAGAGTTTTCCGTAGCCTGATCTACTTTGTTTTTTGGACATATATGTATATGTAAAGAGCATGCTCATGTTGCAACAAAATATGATAGTTGAACTTTATTTATCCACTTTATTGCACAATAAAATATGATAATTTTGATAATGCAACACCGAACTATTAAAACTTTTGCAAAAGCAAAAGAAACAACAACAACAACAACAACAATTATTTAACTTAGACAGACAAGCTCACTAGAAAAAATGACCACTAACCACATAATTTGTACAATAGACATGGAATTCACTAGCTAAACTTGTTAAAGTTGCAGCACCCATGGTTTATTGGGGACTACTATAACACAATCAGTGTATCCAATGAGAAGCTCACACGAGTATTACTTCTATCGTTATTCTTGAGTTTCTTTTGCTTCTGTTATGAATGGGAGAAGGAGAATTGTATGTATTCTCCAAATATTTGGTTGTCTGTTATCGTTAGAATTTCACCTTACCTTTTATTTTTGCGCATCACTTTATATGGATATTTTTTTCATATTTTTGTTGGGACTGGAAATTTTTTTGGGACGAGAACTTTCTCTGAGATTGTTTCGGTATTTTTGGATTTCTAATAAAGTTGGGAATTTTTGACTTCTTATGCTGCAACTATTAGCTGTTCATTATTACTAGTCATATCTCTCTTGCATTATTAGAGTATGCTAATTGCCATATCTCTTGCACTATTAGCTTTAATTGTGTCACAATGGTGTTACTTAGGATTGAATCTCAATTAAATATTTATGCACTTGTGTGTTCTTTGTAGAGCTTTATATTGTTCATATTCATTGTGTTATTCTGATTCAAGATTGGGTTTCTAGGGTTGCCATTAAGTGGTGATGGATATTTCTGAGGCCAAGGACATGTCATAGTGCGTTAAAGTTGCTCTAAACATTAGACCACTTCTTACTTCTGAGCTTCTCATTGGATGCACTGATTGTGTTACTTTTGAGCTTCTCATTGGAGAAAAATGTTGAACTTAATTATATTTTGGTTTGTGAGCTATGGATGACTGTTTTCTGTAAAGGTGGGTATTGCTTTTGGCATTATTCGGTGAGTTTCTTTTGCTTCTGTTATGAATGGGAAAAGTAGAACTGTACGCCTACTGTCAACCTGTTGAAAAAGACGCTCTTTCTAGTAATCATTACAGGTTGATATTCTATTTACTCGTATTGTTCGATAAAACTGAAAATGAGCATACTATTTGGACCTTACTCTTATTTCACTTTAGTTACATACAATTTGGACCTTCCATGGATTTTATATCTTGTAACATTGATTTCTTATTGCAGCACATAGAGCTTGTTTCCCCTTCACCGCCAGAGGCCGAGACTTCTACGTTTGATGTTGTTGGTCCAGCATGCGAGTCTGCAGATTTCTTGGGAAGGAACGGGAACTTCCTACTCCTCCCAGGGTACTTTTTTTGACCTCTCGTAACCTACAGAAAAAGAAAATGCTTGGCATCTTATAGGACATCTAGAAACACGTTCGTCACACTAACTATTGAGTTTTGCATTCAGGGCACTGGTTTGGTAGTTCATGATGCAGGTGCTTACTGCATGAGTATGGCATCAACATACAATCTCAAGATACGCCCACCTGAATATTGGGTAAATAATTTTAACCATGTAGTATGTTGAATGAATTTTCAGATCGAAAGAATTCCTTATGATGCTGTTTACATCTGTTAATTTATCTTCCAGTCCTTGGCCTGAACACAATATCCTGGTGACCCCATTACACTTGTACTCAAGTCAGAGAGCACATGGTGAATAATTTTCCAATGGCCTATAGTCATCCCAGTACTTGATGATTGAACTCTTCTCCTGTTAGTTTTTTTAGTGGGTAATATGCATTGTCTTGAACCATGCGCTTATGGTATTGGAGGAATAACCTAGTGATCGCTAGCTAAGCAATTTAGTGACTAGATGCTATAAGCTTACACATGTCTACCAACGACTGCCAAGGAAGTGCTGACATTGATTCTAATTCTATAAGACCTAGCGAGCACCAGTATGCAAACTTTCTTTTAACCTTTTACTAAGCCGGTGAGGGTGCTTTGTGTTTAGGACTATTCATCAATCATACTGCTGAGTCTTACTGTGACATGAATCACTCGGAATGCCTTTTATCATTGCAAGTATTATGTCAAGGTCCAACAATTGCTTCTTAAAGATATTAGAGTGGTGTATTATGCTAATAGATCCTTTGACTGAATCCCTGAGTCTTTTCTAATTTATATTAATTCTGAGAATCTTTTCCCTAAGAGTCTTATAGACTGTCAGTGTAGTGTAACGTCCATGATGAGTGGGATTACTGTCCTAGGGGAAAAAAAGGGAGCTAACCTGCTACAACAGGTTAAAAGGGAGTTAACCTGTCGTCGTGGCATGCCTAATGAAACATGCATATTAATCGTCTGGCATGAATTCTGATTTTGTTGCATATATTTAGAAAGTGACTTTGGATGCTGCACTGCTGTTTGTAGGTAGAAGAAGATGGATCCATCTCCAAATCCGACATGGAGAGACATTTGAAGACCATCTGAGATTCTTTGAGGGTCTGTAAAACTCATTTTCAGCCGTTTACACATCATTTACATGAAGGCAGGATGTGAATCGTAATTGTCGGTGTGCTGCAGTCCTGTCTAAGTGATCTTTGTGATCTAGATTCTATTTATTTTTTTCCCTTCTCTAGACTTTGTGATCCAGATTCTTTTTTCTTTTTTTTCTTTTTTAATGTGTTCTTCCGGTCACAAAGCATAACATGGAATTTCTACGCCGTGTTTACATCAAATTACATTAGTTTATTCATGGTTAAATAATATAGAGGTTATATATAGAGAGAGAGTGTGCAATCCATGGTTAAATGGCATGAATGCATGTAAAAGAATATATGTAACTTGTTTCCAATTGGTGTAAACAATGTATGGGGGCAAGTTCTTTTTTGGGGTAGTTATTAGTCTGCAACAACAGAAATTATTTACATTCGGTAATCGAAAAATTGTATAAAATTTGTATAATTTTTGTATATAACATACAAAATGTATATATATACCAAAAAAATATTTTTTCCGAGTATTATTTTGAGAGCAACTATACAATGTCATTTTTCCTTTTTTCCCATATTAATGAGAGTGAATTGTGATTGGTGAAAGAACTCAAACTCAGCATGTTTATAATTCAAATTAAATAAAAGCTCATATATTAGCGTGCCGAAAAGGATGGCATGATTATTAATTGGAGAATAAAATATTTTTTTAGTATGATTTTAAATTATATTAAACTCTGAAAATGTTGATTTTGTATACTTCTCACATCTTCTATCTATAATAAAAAGAGAGGCAAAACCACTATATTAAGACAAGTGGCATAACCACAAAAAGTCAAGTGGCATTGTTAAGACAAAATAAACTATATTTCTTACTAAAAAACTTTTTGAATTTTAAATTTGAATTAATTGGTATATAGATATCTTATAATTATCGATAAAAAAAAATATTAAATAATAATAAAAGAACAACTCATTCAAATCTTCTAACTAAAAAACCTTTTGAATTTTAAATTTTGAATTAATTAGTTACTCTATTTGAATTAATAATTAATAATATAATAAAAAGAGAGGCAAAAGCACTATACTAAGATAAGTGGTATAAGCACAAAAAGTCAAGTGGCATTGTTAAGACAAAATAAACTACATTTCTAACTTAAAAATCTTTTGAATTTTAAATTTTGAATTAATTGATTACTCTACTTGAATTAATAAATATAGATATCTTATAATTAACTATAAATAACCGGGTGAGGGTGGAGGAGGGGACACCAGTCATTCAAATCTTCTTCTTCTATAATAAAAGGAGAGGCAAAGCACTATATTCAGACAAGTGGCATAACCACAAACTAAGTGATATTGTTAAGACAAAATAAACTAAACTTCTAACTAACAACCCTTTTGAATTTTAAGTTTTGAATTAATTGGTCACTCTACTTGAATTAATAAATATAGATATCTTATAATTATCTATAAAAATGAAAATATAAAAGGAAGGGCAAAAGCACTATATTAAAACAAGTGGCATAACCACAAAAAGCCAAGTGGCATCTGTCACACCTCATTTTCACTCCCCCCTCCCCCCAGGAGGGGTATATAAGGGAGTTTTTTCAACTTAAAGTGACAATCGAAACGAGATTTATTTAATTAATGATTCAGAGTCGCCACTTGGGATAATTTATAGTGTCCCAAGTCACCGGTTTAAATCCCGAATCGAGGAAAAGATTGACTTTGTATTACAGTCCGCGAACACAGAAATCTAGGTAAGGAATTCTGTTAATCCGGGAGAAGGTGTTAGGCATTCCCGAGTTCCGTGGTTTAGCACGGTCGCTCAACTGTTATAATTGGCCTATTATCTTATTTTGATACATGTTTTAGCCTACGGTTCAATTTTAACTTTATAGCCGCTTTTTTTTATTTTATTTTTAAGGAAGATTGCAACGTCATTTAAAATATGTCTTGAACCACGTCACATAAATGCACCCGCAGTCCGCAACACATTTTATTTAACGTTGAGATTTGGATTTGGGTCACATAAATGCGCACTCAGGTTTAGGAAGGTAAGTTATTAAAATAACGCGCCTAAAGCAACTACGCGTTTGCAACTTTGCAAGGGCCATGACAATTCGCTAAATGGCACGCCTCGATTCCTAAGGATAAAACATTAATCAAACGAGGGTCGTGCAATTGAAATTTTGTTCGGCACGGCAAACCTCGATTCTAATTTTCAGGGGAAATCCAAAGCTAAACTTTGAAGCCATGAATTGTGACTTAGCTAATAGCTTACCTCAAATTATCTAAAAGGGCCTACCAATTAAATAAGGCTTAAGGAACTTGAACTATTTTAAAATTAAGATGAATCTAAATTGTGAATCTAAACGAGCTAAGGCATGAGGTCTACTTCAATTTTGTTTTACCACATGGGCCTGGCCTGACGTGAGGCCCAACGGCTCACTAAAACCATCAAGTTGTAAGGGTAAAGTTCTACAACAAAGTCCATTGAGCCCATGTAGGAAGCTCAATTTTATGAAGCCACGCACAAGCCGAGTATCAGGAGGGGTTCGTGTGTGGATCCCGGACAACAGCAGAAAGCGATCAAACTTTTTAAAAATGTAGTGACAAAAGGATTTAAACATCACAGATCCATAAACTTGATATTGAACAACCACCAAAATTAAAACTACAATTACTAGGCATTGAAGCACTGATTGGAATTAAATTGAAATCCATTCCAAGCCATTTTTAAGTTAACCACATTCACATGATAATCATTTACATACCAGAAATTGAAAATCGTTGAAACATTAACTAAATAGTCATGCTTCCCCTTTTAAATGTTCATACTCAAATCGATTGACGAAACATTCCAGTTTTTAAAACACTTCTAAGTTAATTCAATCACATACCCTTCAACATCACCTTAAACAACATCATTTCTACTCTTAGCATCTTTAAGAGCAGTTTAAACGTGAGATTGGTATTAGTACATTATCATTTGGCTCATCTAAAGCCAAAGCGAGTTGAGGACGTATCTAAGTTGATTGAGTCCTCCCAAAACAACATTTCAATAGTCTCAAGTCAAATACAACTATATGAATTCAATTACTCAGATAAAAATTAACTAGAACACATGACACTTCATGTGGCCAAAAGCACAAAACAACACGAAGAAATGTAAGTGAAACACAACTAAATTTACTGCCATGCTTTCAGCTCTTCTTTCCATCTTCAATATGAAACTTACATCAGGCAGAACTAAGAAAATGTACCTGGAATTCACAAGAAAAGCAAAATCAGAGGATGAGCGAGTAGCAAGAAGCAGCAACAGCAGTTAACTCTAAACTTCAACAATGGAACAGTAAATTCACACAGCTTCCAATAGGACTTGAAACCCCAATAGAAAACTCAGACCATTTTTGCTCGAATCTTAGAATTTGTGACTTTCAAAGGTTTTAGCTAAGGGGAAGACCAGAATTCCAGCAAAACCAACTTAATTTCGATCAATTTTCAACCAAAATGCAGAATCTAGGCTCTTCGGGATTCTGTCTAGTGATGGGATTCAGAAATTACTTCAGAGACTGAATTGTAACTAAGAAATGCATAAGAGAATCCATGAAACAGTGATATTTTCAGTATTTCCAGCCGTTTTCCATTTCTATCCCGTCTGATCCCCATCCAAAAATTTCAGCAAATGATGCTTTTATACAGGGGTGTTAGGGCAGCAGAAATGGATTTCAAATTTTGCCCTTTAACCCCTCTCCAATTTTCGTTTTTGCTTAAAAATCCTCCGTTCAAAATCCAATTTCATTTTAGCCCCAAAGTCAGCTTCTAAGAAGCTTCCCATTTCTGTTACAGAAAGATTCCCTACCCACAAATCCTGAACTACCCTTTAAACCTAGGTTATTTACCCTTCAGCTCATGGGTCAATTTAACCCATATCCCAAACCTAACCCATGGGCTTGACAACCATAAATGACCCCTCCCCTCTATGGGCTCCTGACCTTCGAAGCCCAGATTTTAATTCGAAACTGACAAACCACAAGAAAACAGGTTTACAGAGTTATAAACTCCTGATACCATAAATTCAACAGAACAAAAATTAAGGAAAATTTTGGGCAAAATCAAACAATGAAAACAAATGGACTAATAACCATACTGACCTTACTATGACCCAATCCACATGCAAGCAAAATGATTTACAATAGAAAAAAAGAAAGAGAAAAGATGAATCAGAAAAAGATGAAGAGAGGAATAACACAAAGGACGGAAACAAAGAAAAGTGAAAAGAGATACCTAATAGACGGCCAAACTTGGATAAATCTCCAGCAAACTCCGATTTAAACCAAAATTGGTATTACCCACATGTTCTCCTTGACAACAAACAGACAATACTAGTTTCAGTCTTAATCGCTTTGGAAAAGTTCTCTTTTCTTCTTTTTTAGATTCAAAGCTGGCCGAATTTGGTGGGGATTTTGGGAGATGTGATGGTGGATTTGGAATGGGGAGGCAACAAGGGTTATCTGGTCAAGTTTCGAGGGGATTTGGAGATCAACCACCGCCATTGATGATTTCCGGTGGGCGGCGGTCAGTGGTGAGAGATGAGGGTGAAGGAGGCGATATAATCGGGATCCTAAGTTTAACTGAGAGGATTTGGACATTTTTAATTAAAAATGGGGATAGCTCAAGACCATTAGATGATATACAATGAAGGGTCAAGATCTGTTTCAAACCCTTGAACTCAAAACGACATAATTTCGACTCCATACTACGTCGTTTGAGTTATCTTGATGCCTAAGGTTTGGATCGGGTTTACAGCACTGGCTTGGGCTGGATTTTGAACGGGTGCAGGGTGTTTGGTTTGGGCTTGGAAAAAATTAAAGGGATTTGGCCCAACACAGATTTTCCTCTTAATTCTTTCCTTCTCTTCTCAATTCATTTTTCTTCAAAATTCTTTTCTTTTCTTTTTTTTCTTTTTTTTTTTCAAAATTAAAATTAAAACCTAAATTAAATCCTAAAACTAAATTAACCTATCAAAAACACTAATTAAATCTAAATACTAATTATCATAACTAATTAAAAACCAAATTTAAGGAAAATTTACCAAAATTCAAAACTAAAATTAAAAAGTGCAAAAATAAGTTATTTTTTGTGACCTTTTCATTTCAACTAATTTGCTAATTAATCTGAAAAATGTAAAATTAAATCCTAAATGAAAATGACACATAGTTTTTGTATTTTTCATCAATTAAACAAAATTAACATGCACAGACAAATGCAAACAATTAACAAAAAATGCCACAAAAATCCACGAAATTGCAAACAACGGAAAAAAATTATTTTGTTTTGAATTTGTGGGAATAATTCATATAGGGCAAAAATCACGTGCTCCCAGCTGCC